ATAATTACATTATTTTGCAAATCAAAATTGCAACTAGAATAAATTTAATCATATTAAATCAATTTAGCACATAATCCTTATTTTATGTTTCCAAAAATCTTTTAACAAAATGAAATAAATAAATAATATGCGCATGTATGCATGACATGTAATTAAACATATGAGTAGGCATATCAAAGATAATATGGTATGTTATATACATGGACATATAATATATTATTGTTAACATATAAATATAAATATACACAATGGGTATTGAGATAGAATTTGACCAAGTCCCATAGAATAATTCAATTACAACCCAATTGAATGAATGAATAAATAAATAAGTAATTACAATAATTATTTTCATCCGTTATATCAACGGCTATTCAATTTAATTTTTCAATCTTCGAAATCGTACGCCTTCAGGTTGGGTATGATCTTCCCTTTCCCAGAACAATTTTGAAAATTTCTCACAATATTGGATTCAGAAACCCTGATAGGCCAATACGTTTAAATCATTTTTGACATAATTTTTCCAGTTCAAAATAATTTATCTATAATTTTCTCCCCGTCGGAAATAATTACTAAATTATTTTGCAAACTATAATCAATAACATTATTTAATTTTAATATATATAAATATAATTATAATTTTTATCTAATAATAATATAATTATAATCTTTATTATATAATATATATCTCATACATATAATCTTATAATAACGTTTATAACGTTTTTATATGTATTTCAAGTTATATATCATGTTATCAACTTTTATAACGTTTAAATATGTGGGATAAAGAGGGAAATAGGCTAAGACTTAAGATGAATTAAAATTAATAGGCCAATAATTTATATAAGTTAATAAATAGGCTAAATTACTGTTTTTGTCCATAACTTGTCTGGTTATATGAACCATAACTTGACAAGTTATTGTCCATAATTCACGGTTTTTGTTCATAACTTGTCTGGCTATAAACCATAACTTAACAAGTTTGTCCATGACTTATCTGGTTATGAACCATACCTTGACAAATTATGGTCTATTAATTTCTATAACTAAAATTGACCCATATATATATATATATGTGTGTGTGTGTGTGTGTGTGTGTGTGTAAATTTTCTAGAAAGAAACTCTCTTTTATTATTTTCAGAATAGTAAAAAATAAGAAAAAATAGGCTAAGGAAGAAACCTTATCTTCCTAAAAGAAAATATCCTAATTAAAGATAAACTCTAACCTAAGAAACCTTATCTCTAATGATAAACCATTTATCCTCTATTTTATTTAAATTCAAATACAAAGACTTTATCTAACCGATAATATATATATATATATATATATATTTTAGATAAAACTCTACTTCTGACTCAGTTTCTTGAAACTAATTTTAGTTTTTAGAGCGTAGTTGGGTATTCAACCTCAAGGCTCAAAGAAGACATTTTACTATATTTATTTTATGTTTATGCACTTAAACATTCAAATGTTTGGTTATGTTTTCAAACTTATTTAAATGTACTTGGCTATGTTTTCAAACTTCTTTGGATGTTTGGTAATTGGTATGTTTTGAAACATATATACTTGATAATCTAGTAGTATCATATATATGTGTGTGTTTGATAGTTGGATATTTTAATGTGTGTTGGCTATTATGCATGATTTTATATTAAGTAGTCAATTAATATAGTTTTGAATACAATATAAAATTCCACTATTTTTGCTAGTTTGGTCATAAACGGGTCATAAACGTATTTTTTTCGTGTCGGCCCGTCACGGCACGTTTAGTAATCGTATTTGCGTGTCGTGTCATGTTAACCGTATTATTAGTGTTTCGTGTTCGTGTTTGGGTTTATGACACGTTTATTAATCGTGTCATGTTTGTGTTCACTATAATCGTGTCGTACTGTAATCGTGCCGGCCCGAACACGACACGCAAACACAAATTGTCAGCCCTAACCGAAATAGTGGGAGATGAAAATATGTAGCCGAGCCACTTTGTTCAGCCACAAAACCCAAACTAAGTCGGCTCATTCGAGTTCAGCTCAGCTCGGGTTGGCTCTATGAAAATGGCGACTAACGAGTTTTTTGGGTCAGTAATGCCGGCGATAGGAGATAGAATACAATGTAAAGTGTTTCATGATTTTTGAGAGAGATGGAGAAGACAGAAGAATACGAGAGAGAGAATGAGAGTTAAGAGAGGCAGTTGTTTTAGCTTTGCAGAAAAGTATATTATTTAAAGATAAAAAGTGATGTTTTTAGTTTAAAAAAAAACGTGATTGGAATTTGATTGGCCTGACACGTGTGGTGAGGGAGGGAAAGATAGATTGACAGAAATAAATTGACAGCTGGCCCACTTTATTAGTGTCTTAGAAAACTAAGGTTATGTTCATTTCACCGATTCGAGTTTAGAATTTTAGTTTTACTATAGTAAAAAGTTGTCATAAATAGTCACATCTAACTTTTTTGCTATAGTAAAAAGCTTTCACATAAAGTCACATTTCAACTCGAATTAAAAACTCGAATCAGCGAACTAAACGAGCCCTAAACTTACGACGAAATAAAAGAAAATATTAAAAATATATATAAAGGGTTGTTTTACTCAGCCGAGTTCTGGGTTCTCGGGGAAAAAAACTTTCAAGCCTCAGGCCGAGCCAATAATGTTAGCTATGCAATATTTTGGGCTGAAAAAAATTAAAGTCTTCACAAATCCGCCATTATCGGGGTATTTCGGTGTGGCTCAGCCGGGTTCTTTGGGTTTGTTGGTTTCTCTTACACCCCTAAATTGAGTGATTTATAAAACAAATTCATGAATCTGAGTTTCTACTAATTTAAGTACCGAGTCAACCTTCAAAAGAATTATTTATCTGCTTTTTTCTCAAGAAAGAATGGATTCCATCTTGTATATTAACATTCTCGGCTACCTACTTCATCATGTCTCTAAGATACAAGGAATAGGGTTTAGCAATCTCGAAATCCATACTGAGGTAATCAAATACACGAATTCATAAATAAGAGTCTGCTAATAACTAAGGATTAAAGTCATTCTATATATGACAATCGATAGACTCAATTAGAATTTCTATACTTAACGGAATTTATTAGAAATTTATATGGTGTCTTGTCCCATTCCTTCATAACCTCATTATATGAAATACACTCATTCGATATCTCTCCATATAAACGATGCACATAAGCTCGTTCCATTCTTAATGGAAATGACATGTATTAATAATATTATAATAAAAGATTATGAAGTTTAGTTAAATTCATTATGGACTTATTTTGGTTATTATCTTTAATTATTATCCTCTAATATATAACACTTATATACAATATTAAAAGTCACATAAATAATCGTAGAATTTTCAATGATATTCCTAAAGTATTCTTTATAAATATATTGTACGCTTAAGTTGCATAAAAAGTTCAAGTTTGTAGATCCGTGTTGTATGGTGGTCTAAGGTGGGCTAAGCAAGAATATGCTCATTCGCGTTTTTTGAAAGATGTATTGGAAGATTACCCCCAACGGCAATATTTATTTGTTCCGTATAACTCTTTATAAGTCATATTTGTTCAAACAAATATTGTTGTGCAACATATATTAATTTCTAACTTAATGCTTATTTGACTTTTCATAATTTTTTAGGTCTCACCGGATGTTAAATATTGATCTTCATGAGAAACTTGTGCTCTTCTCTGATGCTCTTGGGAACGAGCCAACTAAAGAAATGAAATACGTTATTAATTTTTAGGTTGATGATCTCTAATAATTTGTTTACTAATTAGTATGTTTGTAAATTTTGGTTTTACTAAGTTGTTTAATTATTTCTTGTAGTGGGCTTAAAATGCTTGGCCTTAAAAAAAGAAGCTGCGACAATGGATTAAAATAAATGTAAGTTGACAAATTAACTCAATTATACATATATTTGTTGTTCATGTAGTTATTTTTTATTTATAATTTCTATTATTTTTGTAGTAATAATTATTATGTCTCAACGTACAGTGCCCTACACCCTACAACTATAGAATGTGGTTTTTATGTAAGGAGGTACATGAAAGAAATAATACTCGAAAAAATTTCCATAATTTCTCCTAAGGTATGTACAATCCATATACATTTTTTTAATTTCATTACACATCTATATTTATTCTTACGAATGCGAGCATTCGCTATGTTACTTGTAGTTCAATGGAAAAGACGAGTACACGGGGGAAGAAATTAATGAAGTTCAAGCAGAGTGGGAAGAATTTATTCAATCATACATATTTTAGTATTTTGTTAGATTTGGTTATTTATATGTCCTCATGTATTTTGTTAGTTAGATATATGGAGATGTTGAGTTTTTTTTTTTGTATTTTAGTTGGACTAGTAGAGATTAGGTTTCATGGTGTTTGATCATATACTTTTTTTGTTGTATAACTTAATTTTATTTATATAATTATGTTTTGATATCTGCACTATTGAATTGCATATATGAATTGTAGTTTTTAGAATTAACTACTGATCAAATGCTTGAAAACATGCTGCTACTGATCACTGCAATCTGGTATTTATAACAACGCGGGTTGACGAAGCCTGATAAGACCAATTTTGTTAAATATTTTTAACATCGGCTAAAAAAGCGAGCTTTTTAAACAAATTTCACATCGGTCAGATACCGACTTTGTTAAAGATATTTAACATCGGTTAAACGACCATCTTCTAAAAGGGATGTTAACTTCGGTTATTGACCATGTATTATAGGAGTCTAGTACATTTTTAAGAACTTTGTTCTTAATAGCTAACATCGCTCAAAAGCAGTTGTGAAAACGAATGGTCTATACAACGCCGGTCCGGAAATTGACGTTAAACATTCTTTAACCGCGGTTTTTGACTGATGTGAATCAACAGTTTAGTTGTAGTGATCGAAGCAACCTTGAGATACGACTAGTATTTATAATTAATAAAGGTTTCTAATGAAAGGTATAATGAAGAAATTTAACAGAAAATGCTAGAAAAAGAAGACGAAGAATATAAAATATGGAACATTCTCACTGAACTTTATTTAATCAGCTCTGTACGTAGAGCTTAGTTCAAACATCACACTGACTTTATCATATATTACACACACAGGAAGATGTAGAGCTAATTTTATACAGCCAAAGACATCATAGGGATGTCATGTTTTATTTACTATGTAGTACATCGGTGGTACATAAATATCTTAAGATTTTTCGTAAAGCCCAATAGCATTCAGGTAATCACCGCTGGTTCTTCCTACAAATCCAGCAATTGTGGAATCATCTGGGATTGTTGGGGTACTGAAAGCGTTTCCTTCTTTAACTCCATATGAATAGGTATCCTGGTTGGTCTTAATTGTGAGTGAGCGTACTACTTCAGCAGTAGTAAGGGCACCGGGCACAGCACCAGTATATCCACTCAACTTTTCTATGACCTCCCCTGGGTCTAGTTCAATCTGGATGTGAAAATATTAATAAAAAACAAAATTATATATAAACACCACATATAGAGAGAGAACGAGATTGGGCAGAAACATAAAGCCATTTTGTGAGGGGCTTTCACAATTAGCAAAAAATAATAAAGAAATTATAAATAAGAAACTAACCGTCACTTGTGTGTAGGTGTTATCACCACTTTTATGTTCGGTCTTTGTACCATCCGAATAGATCACAGAAAAAGTCCCGATGCCTCCACTTTCCCCTTTCTTATATGAAAGGATGATTTTTCGAACTCCATTGTGTGTGGTCCCATCGTTCCAAGATGTACCACCGTTCCCTCCATATGGTCCATGTAATGTCAATTGGTGGACCACGCCACCACAAATCAGCTGCAAAATATTTTTGAAAGGACAATATTTAAATCTTATATACATGCTTACATGTATATATATAGTTACAAGCTTTCATTGTATTTAATCTTCCGTACACCCTTTTATACACATAGACACACACAATGCATATATAATATGGAATCTTCTCAAAGTCTAGCATACATACATAACAATTAATAAATGCCAATAAAATTAAAACTAATTTTATTCTTTTTAAAAGAATTATCAAACTATCGGTCGGAAAATCGATCAGGGTAAAAGGAGTATTTTAAACTTCTCTCGATCTGGCATCTTTTATGTTTTCTTCATATTCATATGTGAGAAACTTAAAAACTAGTTTTACAGTTGTAATGGAAATCCAATAACGCTATCAGCTTGTGGATTCAACCTTTGAACTAATCGCGATAATGAAACAAATGGAAAATCAAAGTAGGCTAGCTCAAATAGAACTGTCACGATTTTTTATTTTTTTTGACTATTTTGAGTAAAATTAGTATATGTTTTATGCATGGATTAGTGTGAATGTGTATGTATAATGACAAATGCATTCTTACATCTACAGAATCTTACCTGTCCTGGAAACTGTTTGGGGACTTTTAAAGCTTGCGCCATCGGGATGAAATCGAAGAGATTGTGGATTTGGATATGGAGAAGTAGTGTGCGGTGTTACTTGGTTGGCTTACCTCTATATATAGAGAAAGCAAATATCTAATTTTGTTGCAATGTTCTATTGTATGTAAACTTGAAAATGGGCAAAGTCGTAATACGGTTTGGAATATATCTTGTCTTTTTTTTTTTTTTTTTTTTTTTTCCTTTTTGTGTTTACTT